GCATAGACCACATCCATAGCAGTCACGGTCTTGCGTTTCGCGTGTTCCGTGTACGTGACCGCATCGCGAATCACGTTCTCGAGAAACGCCTTCAACACACCACGGGCCTCCTCGTAGATGAGACCCGAGATGCGTTTCACGCCGCCACGACGAGCCAGGCGACGAATGGCTGGTTTCGTGATGCCCTGAATATTGTCACGGAGGACCTTCCTGTGGCGTTTAGCGCCTCCCTTTTCGAGACCCTTTTCACCTTTACCGCGACCTGACATGCTGTACTGCTATGCTCGCGTTCTTGGTTATCGATCGCTGCACCGCCATCTCTGTGTTGGTCAATAAATCCATTCACATGGTCCTTTAGTGGGCCATGGAGTGGAATAGTTGCGGTTGATTTTGCGTTTTTTTCTTTTTGGAGGTCTTTGATACGAGTATAGTACCAGTGGTAGGGCTAGTGGTGGTAGGGCTAGTAAAGTTGTAGTTGTGGTGTGTTTTGATGAGTGGCGGGTGTAGTTAGGAACGTAGGTAAGTAGGTGTGGTGGCTGGGTGGGGGAGTGGGTGATTCGTGGTGGGTTGTTGGAAGCGGAGTGAGGATGTGGGTTGGGGCTCGCGGGAAAACAACCGGAGAGACGTGAAGGCCCCGGCCGTCACCGCCACCGCCGCGTTCCCCATGTGACCTAAGACACGGAGGCTTGCGGGCAATCGAGACTTAAGGTGCCCAATGACGCAATTGGATGTAGCAGTAGATGCATGCATGGGTGGATGGATGGAGGGAGCGGTGAAAAGAAGTGACGTAGTGTTGGTGAATTGCGTCGCCGCGATTGCTTACAATGAATGGCTGGCACGGAAGCAGCATAGGACGAGTAGAAGGATGAGGATGGGGATGAGAGTGGACAATGGGAGTGTAAGTAGGTATTATGTAGACTGCAGAATACTTTGGCCAATTGAAATTCATGATGATATCCACTCACAGATTTTGACACAAGGTGGTGGCAGACAACTTCTGGGTTTGGACTTATGTGGCCACTGAAGTATCATAGACGAGCACTCGGAGTTGTAGGCAATCCGATTTAGTGGCATCCAATAATTGGAGTTTTGACGAAAAGAGGCTGGTGAATGTTGCTACTATCAACATCACCGCCGCCGCCGCCACCAACATGCAGGCCTCAAGCATAATTGATTGACTTCACTCTCGCAATCACGTTGGCACATGACCGGTTGTCGACAGGGTGTAGAATGCCTAACCCCCATGTGGAGAATAACTACGCTGGTGTGTTTGGATGTCTGTGTGTGTGCTTACGTGTCTCTTCGGTGATGTCTGCACGCGATAGCTTATTTAGGCATATTTGGTGTGGGCATCATCTTGCAGTTTATTTCGATGGACACCTAGAGCCGATGAACGGGCATCCACAAAAGACGCCATCACCTTCATCCGCCCCACGAGACTACACCTTCTACTTCTTCTTCCTCTTCTTCTCTTGGCCCTTAACTTCAACACTGTCAATTGTGATTTGCCGCGAGGCAGTAATTAAGAGCGCTGCCATCTATGCTTTCAAGTATTGCATTCAACAGTACAGGCGTTTAGACTGGCGTGCAACGGTAGTGCAATGCAAGGGTTGCGTAGGAAGATGGAGGGCAGGTTGCTTCGGTAGAAAATGCTTCGACGAGCTAGGGCTGGAGTCATTAACAGGGCTAAACTCCACACGCTGACGGCAGCTGCAGTGGCAGCAGCAGATACTAATGAATTAGTGAGGGACTTAGAGTGAACACGGGAAAGGCGAATAGACCTGCCCTAATCACCAGCTTCTTCTTCAAACTTGCAGACTTGTGAAGCACGCCTCAGACTAGCTCACGTCCCAATACCAATTCAAGCCCAATGTTCGTATGGCACGACGCAATAAGGCTGAATGCGTCGGCAGTCCAAACCGACCTGCCTATTCATCCATCCATTCATCTATCCATCCACCGCATTACCAGAGCACAGTTAATCCGCTTTCCTTGTCATTACTTCCAATTTGCTACCTGCCTTGCCCCGCCCCACCACAATACCCGCTTGCCCGCCCTCATGCCTCGGCGCCCATACACACACCCCAAACCACCTCTACCACCCTTAAACCCCACCAGAGAAGACAAAGAAAACGAAGAAGAAGAACCAGAGGTGGAAGCAGGGGTCAAAAACGCACCATCAAACAAGGCTTCAGTGCATTGATGACTCCTCCATTGATGGATGACAATAACACACAGCTCACCACACCAAATCATGGCTCACTACTTGACAGCACAGCACAACACAGTACTCATCGAGCGCGTACCGAGGAAACAAAATATGAGTAGACTGGCAGCCTTGTCCGACCCGCCTCATGTGAACCAACTGCATCCTATTTCCAACCCTAACCGCTTATTCGCATGCTTTGTGCGCCGCATGCCACTAACTACCCAACAAGGATGATGTCTGTGAAAGGACAGAGTTAACCGTTTATTCGAGAATTTGACGAAGCCGCGGTGGTGAGTGGGTTTGCGTGTGTGTATTTACACCTCGGATGTGTGGGTCATAACCGCGCTAACATCGAGACCTAGGTGTGAGGATAATCCAAGCAAAATTTTCGTGTGAATAAAGGGGAGTTGAGAATTCGCGCGGCTGGCGCTATGCTTCGAGCAAGGCGAACCCTGTGTCGGAGGCTGAGCGACCAGATTAAGGGCTTAAATATACACGATTCACAGCAGCTCTTCCCCTAATGGAGAGGATTTGGCGATCCTTTTCATCCGCTCGGGTTTTTGAAAGTTGGGCTTTAGGTTTAGGTCGATTGTGATCTCTCGGTCACAGAACCAGAAAGGGAGCTCAAACTAAAATTGGGATCGAGAAGTACTGCACGCCACGTGCGATTGACAATGTCCTATCTGACCTGCGGTTGTCTTCCTTTCAAGCTGAATATCGATCGGGCCAATGAACGCGTCTGCGGGAGCGTATCGTGGTTACAGCCTTTTTATTGTCGAGAGAGACGGGATTTGGTGGCATCTGAGGCTTATTAGTTGGCCAGGTCTCCATGTCGAGGAAGGCTGGCTTGAGTCGGTCTACAGACACGGCGTCCTCTTTCCCATTGTGGTCTGCGATGAAAACTTTTTCTTCTCGTCTAAGCACTCTGAAAGTTCCATCGTAGATGGCTTGAAGTGGTTGACGAACTGCATCGCGTCTGATGAAAATGTGGGTGCATGTAGGCCACTCTGTCGGGGTGAACGCAATAGTGGACTGTAGACGCGGTTGTGTAATCTTCAGTTTATTCATTGTCTCCCATAATCGATCAACGTAGCTGCATGGGTCCCACCATGTTGGTTGTGAAGTCGCGGCGAACAACTGCCCAGGTATTCTTAATGTGGTTCCGGAAACCATTTCGGCAGAGGAACACTTTAAATCGTCCTTGTCGGCTGACCGGGTTCCGAGTAATACGAGGGGTAACGCGTCTGTCCAACAAGATGTCACTGTGTGCCGTTAAAGCTGCCTTCAGTTGTCGATGAAAACGTTCTACCACGCCGTTTGGTCGTGGATAGTAGGCGGTCGTTGGAATGCGGTTCGTTCCCAAAAGTCGTGTAACGCTTTGGAACGGGCTTGATCCTGACGATTGTCCATATCGGGGTCATCAGTTTGTTGGGACGCCATATGCCACTAACTACCCAACAAGGATGAAGTCTGTGGAGGGAGAGAGAGAAAGCCGTAGTGCCATGTGTGGTTTGAGCGTGTGTTTGTGGCTCGGATGCGTGAGTCATAACGGCGCTAACATCGAGACCTGCGTGTGAGGATAATCCAAGAAAAAATATTCGTGTGAATGAAGAGGGAGTTGAGGATTCGCGCGGCTGGCGCCGTGCTGCGAAAAAGGGGAACCCTTTGTCGGAGGCTGAGCGACGGGATTAAGGGTTTGAAAAAACACGATTCACAACACATTTGTCACCCTGGTGTGGCCCTTTCTTGGTGTGATTCTGGCTTTGGTTGTGTCCTAATAAGTAATAAGTGGGACGGGTAAGTGGGCAGAGAATGCAGACGCGTATAGGTACCCAAGCATACATTCATACAAGGGGATGTCTGAGAGGCGGTGTGCATATGTGTGCGTGTGTGTGGGTGTGCGTACACATTGGTACGATGACGGCGACGACAACGGTGTTAGTGACGGGGGGAAAGTGTAGTTAGCGAGCACAAGGGCAGTGCAGTGTTCGTGACAAGCTTGCATTCACGAGGAATCAAGTCCACAATCGTTTGTGTCCTTTCTTATTGTGTCGCGTCGATTTACACTCATTATTCCGTTCACTCGATTCGCCGACATGGTTTCATTCCACTTTCTAGCATGCCGTTAGCCGAGCCGAACCTCAACTTGCACCTCATTACTGGAAATGAGCACATGGGATTAACTCCACACGTGATTACTCTCACCTTGGTCTTGATTATGGCACATTTATGGTTCTCGCTTCTTGCACATTTCCATGCTATAAATGCGCATGCGCCAGCGCCACTTTACCTGAAAGCCAATGACTTGACACAACATAACCACTGGCACACGCCGTCGACCCGGTTGATTTCTCGAAAAAACGCAGATGATGTCCCGTTTTTTCCGGTATTAGTCGACTGAATAAGCAAGAATCTACCTCAAATCTGGCCAAATGCTGCCTGTAGTTGGTCCATAGTTTCGGAAGCGCAATTTTAGGAGCTAACGTCATCAATCGGTATGCAAAATATTCCAATCTAGTTCCGGCCTTGTCCAGTGAGTTGGCAAATGAATTTTCAGATGTTCTGCTTCATCTCGCCAAGAGATCTCCTCATGACCGCTTCAAATTTGAAATCCTCATATGTACACAGCTCTCGGCATTCGAAAGCGTAGAACTGTTAGAAGACTTAAAGCAGACTAAAGACTCAAATTTACTTCGAAAAAAAACTTAGATTTGCTCAACCCGACGACTCACAGGCAGACCGAAATCCGACATTCAGTCAAGCACAAAATTTTGACAAACCGCCGCCCAGTCAACGCTCAAATACATCTCTTGTGAATCGTGCTTATTCAACTCCCTAATCCAATCGATTCGCCTCCGATACGAGACTCCCCTTCTCGCAGCATGGCGACGGCCGCGAATATCCTTAACCCCCCCCCTTCATTCACGCGTACATGTATTTTGGGTTAACTTCACACCTAGATCTCGATCTTAGCGCATCTATGACTCACGCACGCGAGGTATAAATACACACGCGCGAACCCGACACAACGACACCAGTTTTG